CACCAACACCAACACCACCAACACCAACACCAACACCAACACCAACACCAACACCACCACCACCACCACCACCACCAACAACAACAACAACAACAACAACAACAACAACAACAACAACTACTACTGCTGCTACTACTACTACTACTACTACTACTACTGCTGCCACTGCCGCTGCCACTCTATACAATACTGCGTGTTGTGGCGACAACAAGCTGTAGAACTCGGATTGCGCGGCTGCAACTTCGGGTTAATGCACGATGTCTTCTGGCTCTGTAAATCTAGAAGAAGACAGCTACCCCTTCGCGACTCCTTAAAGAATCGTCCTAGGTTTAGGGCTTTGGGCTTTAGTAACTGTGGGCTAAGGGATACTTGAGGGTTTAGTTTGTTGTCCGTGCTTGTGCTAGCGCCTGCCATCAACCACATGGCGTGGCGAGCTACGACTATTGCCACCACCTTCCACCTTGGCAGAGCTTGAGCGACACAGCCGCAGAACAACACCTCGGCTCTACGAACTCAAGGTCTGCTCTGCGAGCAGCTGGGCTAACTGGCTTCCAAGACGGAGTTCGGGCATGGCTTGGGGAATGCTATTGCAGTTGGGCACGGGCTGGATCCAGCTCTAGACTGCAACTCTCGAACCAGTCTGGGGCTTCAACATCACTGTCTCGGCAGTACAGGCATGCAAGCTTCGGCGCACAGATATGCACATCGAATTCAATATATGCACCTACACTTTCATTGCCCTCCACATCGAGCTCTAGATTTGCCTTCGCACGAACGGGTGTGTGTCTCTGTGTGCGCGTGCATTCGTGCATGTACGAAAGCATGTCTGCGCGGCTTGAACAGTTCTGAGCTACTTCACTGTTCTGTTCTGTATTTTCCAGTACATATGTGAGTCAGCAGAATTTTGGTATGGGGTACCGGTATGTATGTGAGGCGGTATGTATGTTAGTATATATGTGTGTAGATGTCTATGTGTAGATCTGCATATGCGCATTTGTGTATCTACGTACGTATGTATACAGTATACACATTTAAAGATATATGTATACATGTGCGTGTACACACGGGCCGCATATGCAGACCTGAATGTGCTTAGATGCACAAGAATGCACTTCTGCAGAAATGAATGCAGCTATGACGGACATATAGGCGATAGAAAGCCGGTGATAAGGTCATACCAAAGGAGGGCAGTTCTAACATGCATCCAAAGCACAGACTACCAAGAAGGGAAGGACGACATACTTCGCCAGCATTGTCAGAATGGTCTGCCAGAGCGACAGGGGTCTGGAGCACTCTTCGGCACAGTGGCCACTTCAGACGCTTGCGGCCTTCAACCTCGCTTTCGGCTCCCAGGCCTTCCAGAGTCGCCGCGGCGTGCAGCCGCTGCTGCAGCTCAGAGTGCCGCATTGTTCCTGCTCAATGAACGCCTGCAGATTTGTGGCTCAGGGTTGCAACTCCAACAACTTCCTGAAGCCAGAGAGGCTCTAGCCACAACCTTCCGAGGAACCCAGGCCTCCGCTCCAAAACCCCGAAGCTGCTGGCCATGATTTGACCCTACCCCCGAAACCCAAACCCCACATGCTGCAGGTTGAAGCAAGCTGTTTTGATGTAACAGTATGCAGTCATGATCAGGTCGTGAGAGCTATATAGGGAGGTTTGTAGCGGAATGGGCATTCGGTTTTGCTTTTTGATGTTCCTTGCTCACTCTCGCGCACTGTACTGCCTGCTAGTAGTTGAAACAATTTAATGCGGCACTACTGATACTGTTGCTTTGCTGCATGCGATTGACACGAATATGGATTGCTGTCATCGGTGGAAAAACGAATAGAGGTGCATGCTATAAAAAAGCAGACGCCAGGCTGCATGAATGGTCGCAGGGCACTTTCTGTGGTGCAGGCTGGCATCGCTAACCCAATGGCAGCTAAGTGTTGCCACTACGTACACCTGCTGCATGGCGAGTGCAGGCCACGACACGGTGTGCGCTTCAGGAGCCCGAATGCCTTGCTAAAGCTGCAGAACAAGAGAAGATGCAGCTCTCTAACGAGAACAGCAAATGTGTTTATGCATCCAGGCACACATACAGTCCACATAATTACATGCATTTTCGCCTACATACAGACACGTACGTACATCCATACATACATACACACACATACATGCATGTATGCATGCATGCATGCATGCATGCATGCGTGCATACAAGTACATACATGCATGAATGCATACATACCTGCAACGACAGCACAAAGCTCATGGTGGCGGCTGCATGGCCTGGGAAGTCACATGCTCCCAACCAAGGAGTGCTTGGAGGAACATCGTGGTGGTGTCGTTGAGGGATAGGCCTCGTGCTGTGCCCCTCTGAAGTCTGCAATCCAGAGTTTTTTGATGCACTGCCTGAGGCAGCAGATTCAAGGCAGTTCTGCCAACACTTCCTGGGACACCAAATTCCTTCATAGTGCTTCGATCGATAAACGATGCTACTGAAGTCTGTAAACGGTTCTAGCACCTCCCAGGTGACAAAGGTCGTGTCTCCGAACTCTTGCGCTATCCCTGCTGTGAGGCTGATGCCAAGGCTGGCATGTGTCCTGACATCAGAGCTAAGTGCCTAGCCCTAGCCAAAGCTCCTCCTCCAACAGCTCGTCGATGCCCAACCCGGCTCTTCACAAGACATACCGCTCTCAGTGGGACGAAGCACCTATACGTCTTAATCCTGATTCTGGCTTGATGTAACCATGCAATCTCGGCAAGCCGGGCCTCTGCCAGGACCCTCCTTGAGCCGGACGGTGTAGTAGCTGTCCCCTTCAGAGATGCAGTGCCCTCGGTTGGCAGCCCGAGAACTCTCATGTTGTGCCTGGAGAACCGCTGCAGGAACCAAGGACAGTGCCCAGCAAGAAATGTGTAAATGGACATTATATTGCCTCAAAGGGTCCGTAGCATGCAGAGGCGAATACAAGGCGCAGCTTTTCCTGTCGATAGACCCCAGGATGTGTGGCTGACAGATGTCTACAAAACACCACTGACCTTCGAACATCACGGAAGAATCATTGACCAGCTGATTGCATCATGATTTTGGACTTCGTGCACTTGACGGGCCATCGTGCACCATCCAATATGCCCTGTGCAACCGACACAAGCACAAGCTTATATCTTGGTTCATATGCCATAGTCATACAGATGGGGTAATAGGTAGCGTCATAAGCAGCCAGCTCGGTAGGCTTGTTGTCATAAGTGTAACTAAGCCAAGTACCCATGACGCGACTCCGTGAGCAACTAACCGCAGCGAAAATCCTTCTAGCAGACCCGGAATGACCGAATGACGCCTAAAACCACAGCCCGAAACCCTGAACCCAAACGGCACAGCAGGTCGGGACGCCCCGGCTGCGCAGCAGGAAGATTGACTCGTCTGTAAGAATACCATGACACCAGAATCTTTCTCGAGTGTACAGTACCGAAGACATGAATGTATAGGGGCACACCCGAATACTCTGCTCTCACTGTATGGGAAGCTCCCGTTCAGATCGCAAGCAGTACGTGCGTCCAACCTTAGACGACCAACACGCAGAGCCAAGAGACTACGCCCATACAGGATCAGCCCTCCCTGCCGAAGGACCCCTGGATCACGAGCTGGATGGAAGTCTAGTGGATAACTTAATTATCCCCGCACCCCCACGAAGTCATACAATCTCAACGCAACCCCGAGCCACCTTGAAACCCGTGAAGCCTTTTTGCATCAGGACTTGTGCAATCGCCTGAATGTCCGAGCCTACAGAAGTTCAGCAACCCGTGAACCCTCAAAGCTTGAACCCCTGCAGGAAGTCTCGTCTTTTCGGTCCTGGCTCATCTCCGTGCCAATCCGGAGAGTCTGCATCAGCTCTGATCGCAGAGAGCCTATGACCTGACTCATGACTAACCGAGTGGTGGGTGTGGGGTTCATCTGAGCTACAGTCTCAGCAGTGAGCATTTCAGCAGGTGTCCTCGTAGCACTACCAGCAACTCAAGGTCCCTTAAAAGCTCAAAGCCTCAGCCGTTAACCCCAGACCGTAAACCAAAAACCCAAACCGCGAAGCAGTAGAACCTCCACACATATCTACACATCACTCCATACCGCAGCTTCAGCCAAGGAACTGTCATGTCCAGTCTGCTTACCGGTCCGCCCAGAGGACCTCCAAAGAAGATGCTGTGCAGGTCTTTCGCCTCAGGCGCACTCGCTCAAGGCTAGCACGGATTCATACAGCAAAGTCTCTTCAACAATTTAGGGCCAGGACGGAGACTTTGCGATAGGCGTCGTGGAGAGGGTGAGATCTTATGTGGATAGCTTGCCCTCATGTGGGTGGAGCTTATCGCTGGCGCGCTTGGCCTGCGAGCATCCTTTAGCATTCAAGGCAAGCTGCAAGGTGCTCGAACTGGAACCAGTCGTTCAGCCTTGCACGTACTCGTGTGCATTGTATATGTAAATACATATATGTATACAGATGATATATATATATATATACATATATGTGTGTGTGTATACAGATTGTTGCATATAGATATATGGTATGTAGGAAATAAGTAAATAAATAAATATATATATATATACACACACACACACCCGCACATCTCGCTCTCTCTCTCTCTCTCCATCTATGTGTGCATCTTTGAGAATATGTGCACACATACACACGCACATACATACATATTATATTGTCTATGATTACGTATGGAAGCGTGCAGGCATACAAACATCTTTACTTGCTTGCCCATGTATGCACGATTCACATGCTATTACCAGCACCAACGGCTACGTTTGCATCACAAAAAGCACCGTCTGCTCATCATTCACCAGCATTAGACCAAGGGAAACCACCTAGGGGTTAACAAGCACAGAAAAGTAAAGAGAAACAGACCATAAGTAATTCATACAGAAGTACACACCTATATTTATATATGTACATAGAAAACAATGTATGTGCATCTGTATGCGTAATATATGCACATTCTACTATCACTGGGAATCACTGAAATAAGTAAGAAGCACATGACCATACATGCTAATAACACACACACACACCTTACTATGCGATATGTGTATATATATATATATGTACACACACGCCCACACGCACACACACGCACACACACACACACACACACACACACACGCGCACACACACACACACACACGCATTCTGTGGCAGTTTACGCATGCGAAATTGGAGTTCTTGCATCATGTCAATGTGAAACTACACTTGTAAGCAGGACGGCAGGCGCGTCGGTAGAACCATGCAAAGCACACAATCAGAAGACCTTTCACCAGCAGCGCCGGTGTGGGAAGCCTAATATAGGGGCCTTAAGAATTATAGGGTTGTGGGGTATATCAGACTAAAATTCTAATAAGGAACCCAATAGTGTAGGTAACTATCACGGCCCCTATATTCCATAGGATCCTTGCATGCAGGTCACTGCATTGACAGGAGGAGGGGTGACTCCACGAAGCTGGACAGCACGGGCCCGAACATGCATGGGTCGAAACCTCCGGTGATGCAGGAAGAGTTGTGTATTGAGGCGTTCTGTATGAAGGTTTCCATCTCTGATTTCATGGTTTGAGTCGTGTAATTCCAACAAGGGCCTTCGAATTCTAGAAAAGCGACAGGCTTACATGCTAGGGCTAGGGTTTGCGGATTATGCGTCTGAAAGGTTGAGGGTCTAGTGAGCTTATTAAATGTAACAGGCTGAGCTTTCACATGTCGGGGCCTTTCAGCCGGCCTGGGTCTTGGCTTCGTTGGCTTTTTGCGGCTTTGGAGGTTTAGGGTGAGGTTTTGAATCTACACTCTCCCACATGTGGTTCTTCGATTTCGTGAAGACATGCCGAGCTTAGGCCCGAGGATAGAAGGATGCTATGCTGGACAGCTTTTGATACCACACACCTGTTTAGAGAGCGTCGGCAGTCCGAACCGCGAAACCTTATGTGTATCCGAAACCCATGTGCACCACAGTTGCACACAAGAGGATAACAGGAATATTAACCGAAGATACACCGACATCGGGCGAACACATCATAGCTGTATACTACGTTGCCCTAAATCCGCAGTCCACCAAACCACAAGACGCTGATCCTAGAACCCCAGCTTAGCACCATTCTACAACATGACTATCTAACTGTTAGCTGTCACTTACGATTACGAACTATCCATCTGTCTACGTATCTACCTAGCGACCTACCTATCTACCTAGCCAACTGTCTATGCATCTATCGATCTATCTCCACCATATCAATAGCCCCTGAATCTGAAACCTAAGCCCTAAACTCCTAAACCCTGAAAGGGATTTCGACTCGCACGCTCGCAGAGGGATTTAGGGTTTAGGGTAAACCCTAAACCCGAAACGCAAAGGCAGACTCAAATTCAGCTGTGTCAAGCAGCTACTAACGTTTGGAGATCCCGGCCCGAGCTCGGCTCCTGTGAAGAAAGGGCTTTGGGTTGAGGGGCTCGTGGGCCGGTTTCTGTCCGGTTTCTTACAAGGGGGTTCCTGTTGCAGGTTTCTATGATTCATGGGATTTAGGGTGTAAGTGTCCATGATTTGGTGTTTTTGAAGGAGGTTTGGGGGACTCAGGCCTTCGAGTTTTTGAAGCTTCGGGCACAAGGAGGTGTCTAAAGGCCTAGGGTTTCAGGGAATTGCAGGCAGTCCCAACAATCGGATGAAGACCCTCTGAAATTGATGTTTGGTCAATCATAGGGGATTCTTTAAATCACTGCACACTGCTGAAGTCTACGTTGTGAGGGAGGCCCATATTTTCGGATCTTACTTGGCTTGAACGAACTCAGCTAAGGTGCGTGGGGGAGGATCTCGGATCTCCTTTGACACACCGGTTGAAGAATACTCCTATTCAAGCAGGTACGTTATGATCTCAAGACAGACAGAGGGAGAGAGAGAGAGAGAGAGCTGCCTTAGCTTTCCGCGGTGAAGTATTGTATTGTACTGGCCTTGGCCTGACTCCTGCAGAAGGGGGACTGGTATGGGAGCTTGGACGTGAGTGTTTGACCGCGCTTGTCGAATCGGTCTAAGTACTGTGACTTTGTACTTGGCATAGCTACGACTACATGCGGTTAACTGTATCGTTGAGTTGGAGCGCCACGTTGTCACACCGATTGCCAAAACACTGTCGTTTACCAGTGCTAAACCCAGAATACTTGAACCTTCTACAGACTCAAAGTCTACGGGGCCTATAGGACTGAACACTCTGGACCCTAAACCCCAAAACCCGGCCTTCGACAAATTCGGCGCCCGGATGCCAGCCTCTTTGGCGCCGGCAGTTCTCAACGGACTCAGAGAGAGTGGAGCCTCCCCAGAGTTGGCCTGGAAGCGAAGGAGAATGATTAGTTTCTTTTTTGACGCTTATTTCCGAATGCTAGGCAACTAACTCGGGAATCCGCCAGGCGCAAGGCTTGTTGCCAGCTGGAACCACTAACCGTCCTCGTTTGCCCTCACTTCAGAGCCCTTGCCGGGAGTTTACGGTTTACACTCACAACTTGGACATTCCCGGCGAGGTCTATCAGGCGTAATTAGTCGGTGTGAAAACAGAGAAGCCGCCAGGGTTTAGAGTTCGCTGGGGGAGGTGCATGTGACCTCGAGTCGACTATAACTCGCGACAGGGTTTAGGGTTTAGTTTATAGGGTTTCATAGGGTTTCATCGGACTTCCATAATGGGGTTGCATCATGATGATGTTTATACAACCTTCATGTATAGTGTTGCTGTTCCGGCTGTTGGCTCTATTGCTTGACGTATGCTACAGCGCTACGGTTCATTTGTAGCTGATCATAAGACCATGAAACGACGCTACTACTGCAGAGCACGGGCTCTCGGGAAACTTGCTGAGGATCGGAAGCTCGAGTCATGTTGCAGCTTCAAGTCAAGAGTGCCTCTGCAAATCCATGCGCCCAAGAAAGAAGTGATACGAACTTACGCACCGGGGACCATGCGGCAAGACGAAACACGACTCGCAGCCACCCCGGACCCTCCAACTCCCAAGCCCAGAGCCCTACACCTTGACCTCTAAACCCTAAGCCCCACCACCACGCGAATGTGCTGGCCTAGCCCCAACTCCGAACTGCCTTGCCCCAAAACCGACTCGATGCAGTTCCGTCGCTCCCTAAGAGGGTGACACGGCGCAGGCGGGACTCCCAAACAATCTCCGAACCTGCTCGCTTTCTCTTACGAGGATAGGGTCTAGACTTCAGGGTCAAGGCTGGCTAGAAGAAATTAAGGGTGTAAGTACTTCCATGAAGGTAGGCTATATGAAACCCTATCCCCAAACACCTGTCCCACAGCCTCTGCAGGTACATACTGCACACCGGCTCCCTTTTTTACAACTGGACTTGATGAATGCCAGCACCCCACTGAGCGCAGGACCAAGGACTCTGCCGAGGCTCCAGCAACACCGGCTCCCTAAACCCTAAGGGTTTAGGGTTTAGGGTTTAGGGCTAAGCCCACAACTAAACAACCCTAACCCAAGATGTCTTGGAACTCTTCTCGCGGAGAAAAGAAAAAGGCCGCTTCGCCTCGAAGGTCGACTCAGGGGCCCGGGATCGGAGACCAGGCCCTAACCCTCCAGGTACCTACTATATGGGTGGTTGTCAAAATTATGGTCCCTTTTTGGGTCCATTATTATAATACGGCACCTATTGTTTAGGGTACCCCAAAAGGGACCATAATTTTGACAACTACCCATATAGGGCCCTAGGGTCCCTATTACCCCAAATTAGTAGGTACCTGGAGGCTTAGGGAGGAGGGTCGAATCGGAGACCAGGGGGGGCGAATCCGAGACCAGCAGAACCGAATTCGGGGGATCAGACTCGCAGACCAGCCGCTCGTTTCCCAGATCGGGCCACTAGGCCCTAAAGTAGTTCCTTTTTGGGGTTCAAAAATAGAATCCTATAAGGTAACCCCAAAGGAACACGAATCGGAGACCAGAACAGGTGGATCTAGTGGCACTCCGCGACCTGCTGCTTTAGTTTCTGTTTGGCATCCTCGAGCAACCATCGCCTCACCCTTGATACCCTTGGCGGGGACATGGACAGGTCACTGACTTAACCCGTCAGATCGCTGCCTTGAGGCGTCCCGGTTGCCGATTCGACCCCTCCTGTTTCTGATTCAAAAGTTCTGGTCTCTGATTCGACCCTCCTGGGTCGCTGAGTCTAGGCGGCCTGATTGCGGAGACTGGTCTCTGAAGCCGCTCTCGTGGTCTCTGATTCGGGCCTTCTGGTCTCGGACTCGGCGCTTTCCGTCTCTGATTGGACCCTCCGGTCTCTGACTCGTAGTTTCCCCTCGTCCAGCATCGCGAAGGCAATAGCAATGGCAATAGCAATGGCAAATAATAGTAACTAGCACTAGTAACAGTAGCTATAGTTATTAGTTATAGAAAATTAGTACTAGTAAGAAGCAATGGTAATAAGAGTAACAGTAATTGTGGTGTTGGGGGGTCCTGTATCAGAAATCACTTCACGACTGTACCGCCCCTGCCCATGATAGCCCTAGTGGGGGTATACTATGCTATAGATATGATAAGGAATAGTATGGGTAACTATATCAGATTCTCGGCTGTTCTTTGAGGGCCTCTCCATAAACCACAAGCTTCGAAACACTAAACCTAGATTCGTGAAGCAAAGGAGACGATCATCCCTGAAAGCAACCCGGAAGGAAAACCCCTGGCCTGAAGGAGAAGCTGGTGGCACTGACACACCTGAGCTTGGGGTTTAGAACTTTCGGCGAGGGATGTAGGATGTAGGGATGATGTGGGGTCTAGCCTGCAGGGTCTGGACTGTCGCAACTCGGACAATGCTAGGGTCAAGGTTTCAGCATGCACCACAATTCAAAATCAAAAGTTCGGAATTTGCAGCAGAAGCTCTGGCAGCTTGCAGTGAATATATGTGTATATATATATATATATATATGTCGAAGATGTTGTGTTGAGCAAAGATGGGATCCACAAGAAGCGCAAAAAAAACACCATCCCCATGCCCGAACAGAGCAAATCAATGATTTGGTTGGACAGCGGCACCGGCTCTTTTGACACTGGGGCCCCTGTACAGTGAACTTTCAGAACACGGCTACTGTTTCACGTTCCGGGACAACGGTAGCTTGACATTCCCCGTTTTGGCCATGTTCATGCTGGCTGCGTGATTAGTAGTAACTGCTGTGGGCAATGCTGAATACTGCATTCATCAGCAGATCACTTAAGCTGAGGCAAGCTTAACCATCGATCAACGTGTGCCGCACAAGCAAACGCGCAAGCGTGCAAACGTTCGCACAAATGTTTATGCATGTGGGTGTATATATATATATATACATATGCACCCAAAATACATACACACGTGTGTTTATATATATATATATACATACATATGTATGTATACGAAGATAGCCTGCTGCTGGATAGATCGATAGATAAAGCTGCTGGATAGATCGATAGATACATAGGTAGATAGATTCAGATAGATAGATCTTAGATAGACAGCTTTCTAGCTAGCTCGATAGATAGACAAACAAACAGGCAGACAGATGGGTAGATAGGTAGATAGACTGATGATAGACAGATGGATATCAAGACTGCCAACTGCACGTGCGCATGTAGCATCCGAACCTGCAGGCGCACAGAAAAACAAGCAAGCAAACAAAGAAACCAGAAACAAACAAACGAAACACACAAAAACAAGCGCACAAACAGACATGTATGTAGAGGGAGAATCCCCAGTTGTCGTGCATGTCTGTACAGGCACCATGTAGAAGTCATTTGCAATGCCAACTTCTCGAAGGATCCTTTTGGCCATCAACCTCTCTAAATCCGGCCAGGCCGCTGTCCACCCACCAGGCAGCATCTCCCAATCCCGCGCAGGCCACTTTGGGCACAGAGGCACGGACAAGGCGGCACAAGCCGTCCAAGTTGTAAACCATGCCTCGTGTCACTCGTGAGAGACGAAGAGAGGAGCTATCGTGGATATGACTGCGCAACATGCTGTGGTGAATAGTAATGGCCTTGTATTGTATGAATGACATACTCGCAATAATACTCGTCAGCACCAGCGCAAACCCCATATTCATTATGTGGGGATACTGCATGATCAGTTCCTGTCATTACCGTGGTATGTCGCTTGCTCGTATTGTCCACCACCCGCTGCATGCACACCAGCAACAGCATTGGCATCAGCATCGTCAGCATCAGCTTCATCATCAGCACCACGGACACCATCACAGCAGCAGGCGGCCCGATCTTTAAAATCAAGGGTGTTGGCGTGTCATTGTTCTGCTCACCAGCCTGGCTCCGGTCCGGGGGGGTTCCAAGAGTTTCGGAGGCAGAGATCGTTGCCATTGCAAGATGACTCCCCTTGGACTGTTCGTTGTGCCACTATGCATCGTTATCCTTCCCACCGCCTCCCACCAGCCAGCACTCGTCCCTCCTGGAATCCCCTCAACCTTGCGTGTGAACACCCTGACATCTGACCTCTGTCAGCCTAACGTACATGGAGAAGTTTAATCCCGGAGATCCGGATCAGCTCCTGAGCTTTTCCGGTGAGACCCTACGCTCTCCAACCTCGACCACCAGCACTGCAGCCGCTGAAGAGCACCAGCGCAGCGTTCTGCTGGTTTCCACGGGATTTTTTTTTTCAGGTTGGGGTTCAGGGTTCAAAGCTTGGGGGCTGTGATGGTGGTGAACTCGTGGTAACAGAACCCCACTGCCCTCAACCCGACCAGCAGTACATGTCTAGTATGCCATCACTGCGCCGGAGCATCCGGTCAGCGTCGCACTTCGTTGCATGTTCAAAGAGGTGCAGTATGTTATACTACAATATACTAGAACTTGCTTATACTGGAACATATAGCATCGCAGCAGCTTATGTTATACTACCAGGATAACAAAATCTGAGAGTTGCAGCCCCACTCTGTGCTGCCAATTGAAAGTTTGGCTGCATGAACTTGTGCTGCTCCTATCTATACGGCAGTGTAGGATTTGTTTCTGAAACTGGTGGCTGTTGGGTTTATGCCTCTCACTCGTTGCTATCGGCATTATTCGGTATTACTGTCGATGGGTCCTTCATGCCGTGCTGCTCCAGCAGAGTGGAGACTGCAGTCGCCAAGATGTGGGCGCCCTGTTCTCGGAGCTACATCAATACGGTTGATGGACAAAATCCTGCATGGCCTTATATACCTAAACTATGGGATTTACGGTACTATACTATATTTGGGTCATGCAGAATTTTGTCCATCATCAATACAGCCATGTTTCAATCAAACTCTGCGTACCTGGTCTAGGAGCCCTTGAACAAGCACCAGACGAGCCTTCCTTATGAGAGTCCTGGTCTTAAACATCTGTTCTTATGGTCTAGGGTTAGTTTTTGGTAAGCTTAGGATCAAAGGCTTCAGGGCTTGTCATATAGAGCCACCATGTTCGGCCTCGCATCGTACTATGTTTCTGGTTGTTCTTAATCTTCGGCTGAGGCGTTCTTAGCGAGGCAGCACAGCAAATCCCTGATATCCAGAAGTTTAGAACGCAGGGCGTTCACCGCAAAAGGGAGCATGGGCCGATCTGTTTGGGGTTCAGAGTAGCAAAGGGTACACTGCCATTTTTCAGGTTATATACTCTATCTCCAGCAAATACTGTTTGGCCCAAGCCCGAAACCCATCCTAGAATCCTCATGGGCCCTAAACCCTCAAAGCCAAATAGAGGGGCCTTAATGATAAGAAAGATGCTTTGGGGCATCTGATCGTATACGAACAATGAAGAACCCTCAGGAATAGAATTGGTAATTCTTCAAGCCGATATAATACACATGGCAGCCTCAAAGTACCAGGTATGACCGCGCCATGTTCGAGAAGTATTGCCCATCCACGAGTCCGAACTGCAGTACCTCAGGAAAAAGCTTCCCTGCCTGAAAGGGCCTACATTGGCTCAGGGTTTCGTGTGCAGGGTTATAGCTTATAGCTTCACATAAGCTATAAGAGATGTGCTCTATATGTTTGGGGTATGAGAAGATTTCATTTCTGCCCTGAACCAACTTGGCAGTCCTCTGCCGTGGCTGCTCTTACTTTAAAAGGGTCTTGGTATGCAGGCTCTGCCTTGGGGCCACTTGTTTCGTGGAGCACTGAGTTTGTGAAGGCCACTCGCGGACTGCTTGCTGTCGACTTTCGCTGCTGTGTGAGGTATCCTGTCCGATCCCGAAAGCAAAAATCTGGAACAGCGAAAAATTTGTGTAAGCTGCAGCATCTTCAAGAACCCAACACGAAGGTCTGGAGTTGAGGTTGCCTCCCGCGCTTTCGGCTTGAAGGAGAAGCAGAGCACGGAAAGCTGGCACTGGGACATGTAGGACGATGGCTTGTTGACATACCTACACGTTATGGTTATGTATATGTATGCATGCAAGTACATGCGTGTGTGCGCGCTATATGTGAACGCGTGCATACTACCTTTTTGTAAATCGCGAGTAGCCCACTCCATTGCGAACATACATACCTTTGCACACATGCCAAAGGTTACAAACCGGCAACATTTCTGGCCATAGGCTGCGCATCCCTATCTTTCCGAAGGATCCTAGACACTTTCAAGAGCTCCGAGAGCCAGTCTACTCCCAAACCCCTAAGCCTCACCCTAGACCTAAACTGCCAAGTTTCAACCCTTGTCCGAAGCAGGAATGACTAACTTCCGCCCCGAACCTTCCTCAGGACGGCTGGCGAGATGCCCGATATAAGCATGAGCAGCTGTGGCGAGGAAGGGGGTCGCCCCAAGACCTCGTGCAAAAACTCCGCCCTTCCAGATCTGTCTGCTGCGCTTTTGCATGGACTCCAGGAAATCGCTGTGGGCCTTGGAAGAGTGTTGGCGCCTGTTATAAGCTATCTTCTGCCCGGAGATTCCTAAGGCCGATTCTTCAGAATCCTTTTGCTAAGCATCCTTTTGCTTTCTGATTTTGGGGCTTTACCCGATCAAGGACTTGTGGTGTCTTTGGGTACTTAGATTTCCTCTCGCATCTGTCCTGAGCTGCACTTGCTTTCTGCGTTCGCGTTTCAAGGGAAGCCTCCAAGGTGTTCTTTCTCTGTTTCTATCTGCCTGGGTGCTTCGGGCCTAGACATCATATGCCGAATCCTCTCCACCGGTGTTTCGCAGTGGGTTCCGTAGGCTCCAAAATGGAGTTGGGGCGAGGATGAGGGACTTGGAACCGCACGAAGTCTCAGGGCCCTCTGCTTAGGCTCAAGACGGGCTTAATCAGCGCTTGTCTCGGAAGATCGAAAGCAAATCGCCCCTGCAGAATAAGCCTGGACTTTTGAGCGTTGTGACCTTTACTGCGTATGGTTGTTGAGGCTTTGTTTGGGTTTAAGATCTAGAGTTTCGGGTTAAGGCTTACCTAGACATGGAAACCGAAATTCTAAACTTCTAATCCCAACACCCTCAATTCTGAAACTATTGCCCTGTCATTTCAGTCTTCTATATTTTTTTGAGAACCCTAATCCCGAAACCACCTTGCCCTAGACCAAACCATCTCAACTGGCCCAAGGCCTTAAGCAACCTCCGCACCGAGCCATCTTTACCCTGAGCCCGGAACCATCAATAAGGGGCCTTGTTAGTTAGAAAGGGGCTTTGGGGTGTAATTATAAGATAAGTATAAGCAGATTGAGGAACCCCAAGAGACAGAGCTTGTATATTTCAGAGGCCTCTCTGTTTGGGGCTCCCGCGTCGCAGAGCCCCTACCTTGAACCTGATGCCTTCCTTAACTCAAAGATTGGCCTAGTAGCTGGTGACTCGCAGCTTTCCTGGTCGTAGCAGTAGCCGCCGCCCTCCAAGTGAACATGCCAGACGGTTTTTCCAACGTAGCTCTTCCTCAGCAATGCAGCAATTCCCGGGGGGCATTATCAGGGTTCAGCACACCGAACTTCGGTAAGGTTGCAAGAAAAATCTGCTCAGCAAGGTAAGCTTCACTGGCACCGGGCTCAAATACATGGCACCAGGGCTGCCGTCGTTGCAGCGAGTGCCGGGCAGAAGGATCATCTTCAATGCAGTTGCCATGGCCGCAACACAAGGACGCGAGGGCGCCGACTCTATTTGACGATACCCTGCAAGAGTAGGTCAGCCGAGGTATTGTTGCTCTTCTAAGCCCTGGCAAACAGCTACTGCTCGCTGAATCATTAACCTCTGAATTGTTCTGACCTATTGCACTATATTGCACTGGGGGTGCGGGGACATGCGAATCAAGCCCAAGGGAACGCGAAGGCAAGGGTAGTGGGCTGAGGTTTTGTGGCTGTTCGACGCCGCTGCAAACAGCTATTACTACTCGTTCACTACTGACCTACTGCTCTGAGGGTGCAGGGGCATGTCGAGGGGAAAGATGCAAACAAGTGTCCCTGGAGCAAAATGTGATCAATGTCTTCGCGGGTTGCATGATATGCTTGTTCTCCGAGTAAGTGCTCGCAGCATTAAATCACACAGTCATGTTTGAACGAACTGCACGTGCTGCTATACCAACCTTGATCTAGCAAAGCACATCGGCCAACATCCTTACTGCTGCCCAGGCTTTTGCATAAAAGCGAGGAGTCTTTGGTGTTTGTTTCACAAGGGACTGCCCAGCTTGACCCGCAAGACAGTACTCGTGACGGTGATGCGAGACTGGCCACTTCGCGGCTCCAAGCTTCTGGCACAACTTGGTAGGATACGACTTTCTGAAATTTTGGGCTCGTGGAATAAAGCCGTCAGGCAGGATATGCGCAGCTGCTGTAATGAATCAATACTGGTAGAAGGGACGCGAACGTTGACACATCCCTTCTTTTGGAGAAAGCAGGGACAACGGCGAAAATGGTCGAATGAAGCGCTGCTCCTTTGGAGCTACGGTGAGAAAGCCTCTTGCGGGAGTATCTCACTCAAGTGAAAATTGGCTTCCCAATCAAAAATCTGTACGCTAGGCGTCTAGACTTGAATCGTATTCACTGGTTCATAGCCTTCTCCTTTTCGCCGCAGCAATTTCTCAAGCTGGTCAGCGATCTCTTCTGCGCTTCCATACAGTCCAAGGGCACAAGGCTTGGATCAAGCACCGTGCTGATCACGTCACTCCGTTTCTTGTCGTATGGGTGATCCGGCCCACACGGAGGCTCCGGCGGATACTTGTCCTCCACCTTCATGTGCGGGACCTCCAACTCATTGTCATGAGCATAGACGAGCTCTTCGCGGCTGCTGTAGGGGGACTTTGTCTTCTCGCCATAATTCCTCGTTCAAACAGCAAGAGTGATGCCCTGGGTCTCGCGGATCTTGTTCAAGTACTGCATGGTAAGAAGCCCAAAATCTTCTCCAGAGTCGATTGAAACCATCAGCTGATGGTTTCAGTCGACTCTGGAGAGGATTTGGGGCATCTTACCATGAGGAGGTTGCACTTCTTCTTCCTGAGACTCATGTGAACTTGTCTGAGTTTATGTTCCATCTCTCCCTCGTCTGAACATTGGAGGTCAGCTGGCCAGCCACGGAACTTGAGCTACCGCCGTTTACTGAGTCTCCCCAAATGACGGCACTCCCATCCGCGGCACAGCCCGTGAAGTGGATGGTCTGAACATCTAACCACGGAACTTGAGTCACCGCCGTAAGCTGAGTCTCCCCCTGTGACGACATGCGCATCCGCTTGGAGGGCAGCAAAGGCCGCCCTGTCGTTGACATACATGACGGGAGGAGGCGTTGACGTTACTGCTTGAACTTGTTGCAGGGAGTAGAGAAGCGCCGCGCCTAGCATGGTGCAAGCGTGTCCACACTATTCCGCAC